ATAATTTCTTTTTTCTGAACTCACAATATATACATTAAATAGTATTGACTTTCGTTTTTCAATCCAACTTTATGCTTAGGCAGTCAACACTTGTTTTTGGCCACTACTATAAAGTTGTTGTATTGATAAGTGCAAAAATGCATTTTAATTACTGCTAATTGACGAATATTAATTGAAAATTTTCTAGTTTTTGCTTAAATACTTGCATATTAAGAAGTAGTAGCAGAGCCAAGAAGCCAAAGCAGCCAATTGTCTCCGCCTGAGTTACTGCATGCGTCAGCATCAGCCTCTGCTGGCCAATAAAATCTCGCCACGAGACATTTCTGCCTCGTTTATTTTACCGATTCGGGTTTTCAATTTTAAGTTTTTACAGTAAAAAGTTTTCAGAAAATGTCACATCTAACTTTTTCTGCTACAGTGAAAAGCTTTAAAAAAATGTAATATCTCAGCTCGAATTGAAAACTCAAATCCGCAAAGTGAACGATGCCTTCGTGTGCTGATTTCTCTCCCGTTTTCAACTTAGAAATTAATTCTCCAAATTAAATCAAATTAATCGGATTCCTTCCTCAATGCATATATTTGATTTCTTTGAAATTAATTGTAATTTTATTTAATTTCCTTTCTTTTGTAATTTTCTGTTTTTGTAGATTTGTTTCTTTATTTGTCATCAGCCTCTAGACACTATAAATAGAGATGTGTGTTTAACTTTATTTTTCATTTGAGAATTGAGAGAAAATTCTAAAATTTAAGTTTTATAATTTTCAATTATTGTTTCCTTAGTTTTCCTATCTTTCTATGAGTGACACACAATTGACGGGAGATTGAGTAAAGAGTGAATTTTAAATCCTCTCATTTTTTATTTATTTTAAATTATCGTGTGTCAAATTTTTATATAAGTCTAATCATGCTTATCTTATATAATTTTGTCATGTAATGTTTTGGTATAATTATTTTATGATATTATCTCTTGATGCCCAAAAAATCACCAAAAGAGTCCTAACATTATCTTTTACTATAATATTGTCGAGAGATATATTGTCGATTTTAGATAACTTATAATAATAATCTTCTTAGAAATTAACATAAGAGTTTAATTTATTCTTTCGCTTATCTCTCTAACGTTCATTTTCTATTAATCTTTCGTGTAAGTTTCATGATTGACTAATTGGTGTAAAGTAGCATTAAAAAAAAATCATTACGTATTCTTGTTTTCGAAGCAATAGAAAGTGGGGGCAGAATGGGGGCATATAAAGGGAGCATAGAACCTGATGTCTATTCATTCATCTCCATAACGTTAAAACTCGATTACTCATAAAAGATAAGTCTCGTTAAGTTAGTAAGTAGGATCTAACTTAATAAGATTAATTATTTTGTGAGTGATAAGATTTTCTCCTGATAGAGATACGTATCATTTTTTATTTATTATTAGTACGTGCTGAAAGAGTAACATTAGTATGCAATTTATTAGCCGATAGAGAGAGAGAGAATAGACATGTAAAGGCAACACTCAACGAGTTTTGGAGAAAGAGACAGTTTATTCAAAATATATCACCAAGAGAATTAGAACAACTAAGGACGTTTTGTTGGAGGATTCAAATAATTTTCGATTTACGTATATTTTTTGTGAAAGAAAATACTGTAGCGAACCACGAATCATAATTCGAATCAGGGAACGAATCCCTCTACCAAACATCCTCTAACTCACCACAATCTTAAAGACATTGTCAGTTTTAGTCAGAGATACTTGGATTTAGCCACTAAAACAAGTTAAGTTATTATTTAAGAAAACAAAAATACCAAGAAAATTTTTTACAAGAATGGAATACCAATGTAACTAGTTAAACTACTCGGCTAAATTTATTTAACAGAGTAACATATAAAGTTGAATAAAAATTTAAATTTTATTAAAAAATATAGTATTAAAAATATTTAAATAATAGTTTAAGACTTCGTTTATTTTATCGATTCGAGTTTTCAATTTTAAGTTTTTACAGTTAAAAACTCTCAAAAAATATTATATTTAATTTTTTTTATTACAATTAAAAATTTTAAAAAAAATATTATATTTTAACTCAAATTAAAAATTTAAATCCGCCGAGCGAGATTTAAATCTAAAAAATAAACGCCCAATCGTACTACCTTCCTTTCAATTTCTGGTTTCAACTGAAAAAGAAAGTTCAAATATTCAATGAAATCCCGTGCGTCATGGCTGAGGGCATAGTTTTGTCCCCATTCACACTCCATAAAATCTCCTCTATGCTTTTCCTTAATTTATCACACACACACACAAAAAAAAAAAAAAAAAAAAAAAAAATTTCTGATTTCGACTGAAAAAGAAGTTAAAAAATACAATGAAATCCCGTGCGTCATGGCTGAGGGCATAGTTTTTATCTTTTGTCCCAATTCACACTCGAGTGTGAAGATGACACAGTAAAATCTCCTCTATGCTTTTCCTTATTATTATAAAAAAAACAAAATTATATTTATATATAGGGTATTTTTATACTCCGGCCTGTATTGTTGGCAGTTGGCCGAATGAAAACGACTTTTAACATCACGTTCGTTTTATAAATTTAAAATTTTTAATTTAAGTTAAGATATGATATTTTTTAAGAATTTCTAATTATAATAAAAAAATTAAATATGATATTTTTTAAAAATTTTAACTGTAAAAATTTAAAATTTAAAATTTAAAATAATAAAATAAACGAGACTTAAATATTAACTGCTGAAATGGACTTAGATGAATTTGAGGGCAAAAGATATTTTTGGTAACTTGTGTCACCAGTTGTCCGCCTAAATCCGGTTTCAACCTTTTTTTTTTATTTTTTTTCTGCTTTTTCTCTTTCCAATTTATCCGTAAAAAACTCGCATTTTAAAATGTTATAATTTTTTTATTTTAATTTTAATTGAAATAATTCTTCTTCTTACGTGTTTAGAATTAATAAATAAACAATTCTAAATTCATATAGCCTAAGTAATTCTTGCATGAATATCGAGTTTTTATAAGATTTGTTATTAGGGAGCTTCTTTGGTAATCCACCTTACATATAGTTACAATTTTTAACCGTTAGATATTGATAAAATTATATCAGATTGAAAAAATATACAGAATAGACAGATTTTGATACAATAGAACGGATGCAAAGTAAGAAACTACATGTAGTCTATTTTTCAAGAACTTCTAGAGAAATTCTCTTGTTATTAAACTCAAAACCTTTTTTTTACAAGCAAACCCAAACTTTTTCAAATGACTTTAACACTATTTAAAACACAGATTCAAGGTCCGTGTGAGAGAACTATCAGTGGAAAAGTTTTTTGTTTCAAATTCTTTGTGAGATAGAATCATGGTTTGAGTCTTTGAGTATACTTCCTAAATGGAGCCTCATATTTTATTTTTAATTAAAATGATCGGAATTACGTTTGGAATGCAGTTCAAATAACCTCTGTTTAAAATTTTTAATTAAAATTAAGATTCTGCTTGGTTTTAGGATTCGAATTATGTGATTTGAATTCCAATTGAGACAATATAGAATTCTAGTAGATTATAAATAGTAACCTGAAAGATTATGAGAGGAGGTCAGTGACTGATATCAGAGATCTGTCATTTTTTGTTAAAAATAAAAAATAATTACACAGATTATGACCCCTTGTCCGCGGTGAAGATCTGTATCGAAATTGGAGACAATATCTCAAATTTTGGTTGAAAATAGAAAAATTATCTGACAAATTATTTTTCATAATTTGCTAGATTATGGTTGGTGATTAGCGACCAACGATGGAGTCGGCGACAACTTCCATTTTTTGATTGGAAATAAAAAAAATGATCTTTCATAATTTGCGAGATTATGGCCAATGATTAGCCACTGAACAACGGAACCGGAGACAACCTATCATTTTTTTGTGAAAATAAAAAAGTAATCTAGTAGGTTATGAAACATAATATGCCAAAATATGACCAGTGACCGGCGACCGAACAACAGAGCAAGAGACAACCTATCATTTTTTTGTTGAAAATAGAAAACTAATTTAGTAGGTTATGAAACATAATCTGATAGAGCGCTAGAATGAATACGTAAAATAAAAAAAAATAAAAAAATAAACGAACACATGAATTTATAGTGGTTCCCCTAATAATGCAGAGTACGTCCACTATAGGGCTCCATGAATTTCACTATCTATTGTAAAAAGTACAATTACAATTGAGAATAAGGAGAGAAGAAGAAGGAGGAGGGGTTTTAGAGAGAGAATCTAGAGAGAGAGAGTCTAGGAGTGATGTGAGGGTTTCAAGATGTCCTAATTCGTGATCTTCCTTCCTTATTTATAAGAGAATGACTTCTTCTTTCCTTTTCTCTTAGGATGTATTTGGTTGCGGTATGAGAATGATAATAGAATAGAAAAGAAAATTAATTAATTTATTTTGTTGTAATTTTAGGAATACTATGAAATGAAACATGGATATTTTCGTTTTGATAAAATTACCCTTATATTATATATAATATTAATATTTTATATATCAATATAATTAATATTTTTATAATATTTTATAAGATTATATAATAAACAATAAATTTAAGTTTTTTCTCTTCTATATTGATCAGATTTGTGCCTTTAATGTAAGATTTTATTGAGATAATCCTCATAGCCTCTAAGAAATCTTCCTTTCTGTCGTCAATCTTCTCGAATCGTCTAAAGTCGATCTCACTCGTTCGCTTCGTGAATTTAAATTTTCAATTTAAGCTGAGATGTGATATTTTTTTAGAACTTTTAACTGTAACAAAAAAAATTATATGATATATTTTTAAAAATTTTTAACTGTAAAAATTAAAAATTAAAAATTTAAATTAGTAAAATAAACGGGACTTAATTAATTTTAGTCTATTCGAGTTGTTTTTTTTTTAAAAATATTATCCCGTGTATAATGACCATCGTGGTGCTAAACATTGACGTTATATAAAGATGAAGACGGAGAGGTTTTATACTCAATAAAGTTGGTCGTCCTGAACTTTCTGTCAAACAAACCAAGATACAAAACTGTCCTTAAAGGAACTCGCCAGTTCTTGTCTCTCACTCTTTGGGTGGGTTTTTCTCATCACTATCAAATTAAAAGCCAAACCCATCTGGTATTTCTTTCTTCTATTTCAATTTCTTTATGACCCCGTGCTTATTATTTCTTTTTAATCTCTTCTTGACGTTCTTTTTATGTTTGGAGCTTTTCTTTTCATTACTATAAACGTGTGGAGTGGTGTATGGAAAGATGGGCTATGATTTTTTTTTTTTCCCTGAAATTGCTTTCTTTCTGAAGTTGATTTTTTTTTTTGTTTTCCATTTTTGTGTTTCCTTGTTTACTGCTTTTGTTTGTGTTTGTAAGTACAAATTTATGACATTATGCATTCATTTGTTCTTTATAAGCCAGTGGTTGATCACTATTGTTTCTTGATTGTTTACTTATTGGGGTCTCTTCTTCATTTTGTTGGATTTTATGTTATTTTTAGGGAAAACAAGTTCTCGAAAGTTCAATATTGAGTTTCAGCTTACTTGTTTGAAGAGAACAAGAAAACTAGGGGTAAAAAATGAGCCCGACCCGAATAACCCCCCGACCTGAAAGCGTAGGTTGTTGTTGTTTTTTTTTTTAAAATTCGGATTCAAATAGTCCCAACCCACACTATGCGGGTGTGGGGGGCGGGGCGGGCATTTTGAACCCGCTTTGCCCCGACCCAACCCGATTTAGGTGTGTAACTCTAAATCTATTTTGCTGGATTATCTCTATATGGACTGTTTGTTTGACGTATTGTTAATTTTATTTCTTGACTTTATTAACTGTTAAGAAGTATGTTTGATGTTATGTTAATGCTTATGGACTGTTTATGGATTTTATGCTTTTGGACTGTTAAAAGAGGTATGAAGTCATAGACTAAAATTGGTTTTCACCAACCCGAGTAACCCGAGCCTACCCGAGGTCATCTGACAGGTTGCAGGTTTGTGGGCTTAAGAGAGTGTTGCGGCCCAAAGTTTTCTCAACCCGCGCTGAGCGGGTCGGCTCAATTTTTCGGTTCAACCTGACCCTACCCGGCCGAATTACACCCCTAAAAAAAATAAATTATTTTTAACTTCACCAAACACGACTTTTGCAATAATAAAAAAGAAAAAAAAAAACCTTGGCATTATGTAGTTTTGAAGAACGATGTTGAGGGGCATTGGCGGTATTGAGCACCACACAATGAATATGACATACTTAGGGCCCGTTTAATTCGCTAATTCGAGTTGAGATGTGACTTTATGTGAGAGTTTTTTACTGTAGTAAAAAAGTTAGATGTGATTGTTTCTGAGAGCATTTTACTGTAGTAAAACTCAAATCGGTGAAATGAACAGGGCCTTATTATCCGTTGTGGAAAATGGGGTTCAAACACTCACATAATAGTAGGTCCCACCTATCCATCTAGTAAGACCTGCTTTATATGAGTAGTGAGGATGAAATCCCATCACTCCTATAATGATAAAAGATGGGTCCTGTCTACCCATTTGGTTATACACGGTGAGTAGTGGGGTTTCGTCCGTATGGGGATGAATAGGTGCTATTTTTATTAACATCTGATTGTGTTTCTTAATTTGTATGTTTTTTGTTATGATATATGGTTCTAATTTAGCTGACGACCTGAAACAAGGCAGTACTAGTAAAATGTTAGAATTATCTTATTTTTTGTTTCCCAGGATTTGATAGTCTATTTTAGAAACTTTAGTTTAACTGAATGGTTTAACATTGGCAGAACAAAATGGGACATGGTTTTGGAGGCTGTTTGCAATCTTTCACAATTCTACTATTGGCTTTGAGCATGCCATGTTCACATTCTCTGAGGATCAAAAACAGAATCAAGACAAATTCTGCCGTTTTCTTGTCCCCCAAGTTTGAGTTGGGACCAGGATCAGTGGAGAACAAGTATTACCATGACATTGACTTCCCAATAGGTCACATTGCTCTCAAAAGATTGGACGCTGAGGTAGTCGATGAAGCAGGGAGTCCTATCCCTCTTCACGAGACTTATCTTCACCACTGGGTCGTCGAGAGATATCGTATTCGCAAAGATGTCCTGGATGTAGAACATGATGCCACTCAGAAACTTAACCAGTCAAACTTTATGTTTGTGAGGAACAATGGAGTATGCCAAGGGAATTATTTGGGGCAGTACTACGGCCTTGGCTCTGAAACACGAAAAACTGCCACGTTTATTCCCGATCCTTATGGGATTGAGACTGGCAACCCTGCAGAGATTCCTGACGGATTCGAGGAGAGATGGATGCTCAACGTGCACGCGATTGACACAAGGGGTGCGGTTGATAGGTTGGGATGCACCGAGTGCAAGTGTGATCTGTATAATGTCACCAAGGACGAGTTTGGCCATCCTTTGAGTCCGGATTACACTGGAGGCCTGTACTGTTGCTATGATCAAACACAATGCAAAGTCAAAGAAGGCTTTCAGAGTGCCAGGAGAAGCCTCTACCTTAGATATACTGTGGAATGGGCTGATTGGTCTGATTTTTTCTTGCCTGTTCAGATATATATTTTTGACGTAACAGACACTTGGACTGGTTTGAACTCGGCCGAACACCATTGCAAAGTAAGTGAATACACCCTTCTCTTAAATGCTATGTAGCTATTGTTTCTCTAGTATGATTATTTCCATAATTTTAAAATTTTGAATGAGGTTCTGTAGCTTTTTTAACACCCTTGTTTTGATGCTATCAGAAGTTTAGTGAAAATTTTAAAACGTCTTCAAGGTATATTAAGTTGATTTATGACCGTGCCATGGAATGAACACTCTTGTGCAAACTTTTGGTACATACTATAGTGGGTCAAGTTTTTGTGCGTGTTGTAATGTAGTCAAACATATATTTATGTGATTCAAAATTTCAAATGAAAGATTTAGAAATAAATTTATCTTCCCTACTAAGTCAACTGAATCTTTTTTTGTCAGATTGAATATGAGGTTGCAGAATCTTGCAAGACCACTACTGGTGTGATGAGTAATGAGTGCATTGACACCAGAAGGAACAAGGCCAGGATTCCAGCTGGGGGATATGTCGTCTATGGCGTTGCTCATCAGCATACTGGCGGAATCGGGTCAACCTTATACGGAGAGGTGATTTTGTTTCTGAAACTCTTAATCTTTACATTTGTGTTGAAATCCCATCAGAAAGCATGTGCAGGATTTGTTGCAACTTCTCTAATATTCAGGGTTTGTAGTTAATTTGGACGCACAAGACTTTTGTTTGGCATATGACTATTAACATTAGTTGGGAATATTCATTGCTTTATTTGGCAGCCTTTTAATATATTTGGATACATAAGACTGTTGTTTAGGATAGGAGCCATTTACATTAGTTGGGGTTATTCTACGCTTTATTAAGGCAATCTTTCATGATGTATATTCCTTTAAAACTAGAACATATTGTTACACAAAATAACTTAACCAAAGTTTGAATACTGACTTGCGAGAGAGTGCATATTAAACTGCCTTTAGATAGATATACGGAATGCATGGATGTGGATTTTGTACAAGGAGTTACTTGATCTTGTGGTGCTTTCGTCTGCGTTTTCAGGATGGGAGGGTGATTTGCTCGTCGATACCGATCTATGGAAAAGGAGAGGAAGCAGGAAACGAGGAGGGTTACATAGTGGGAATGACCACTTGCTATCCTCAACCAGGCTCTGTCAAGATACTTGATGGGGAGACTCTGATTCTTGAGTCAAATTACAGCAGCAGCCAACCCCACACAGGGGTTATGGGGCTTTTCTACATTTTGGTTGCTGAGAAATTGCCAAATCCAACTGTCTCCATGCACTCTCCACTTTGAGTGAGACATCTTTCATTTAAAGCACTACTTTTGTATGATTGGAGTTAATGTAGGGTATCTATATCCTGAGGGATCTTGAAGGGGCATAAAATATAATTACTTGTGTAGAATAATTTGAGTTTGTGCTTGGCAGTAAAAATGAATCTCTAATGTAAACATTCGAGTTTTGTCTGGAAATACACAATATTAGTTCAATGTTGAATGATGATGATAAGCAAAGTGGTATTTTTTTCCTTGGTAAACCATATCACAGTTTGTGGTGATAGGATTTGGTCGGGATCCAATATCATTCCTCAGTGACTAAAACTGTTAATCTGGGAAATTGGAAAGTGACTCTGTTTGCGAATTCAAAGTGAGAAAATTCTTTGGTAAGTTATAAAAAAATTACCCTGCTAGTATTGCATAGCCCTAAACCATCATATTTATCTCAAACTTTTGATGACAAATCTTTGTCAAGTTTCATTATTGAATGAATGAATTACTCTCTATGGTTCGCCACTTTGGTGGTGTTGGAGATAGCAGGATGCAGTGAAGAGCAGTGATTTTCGCGTATGAGCGTCCTTCCGGCAGGTTCGTCGATCACTATCCCTGGAGGTATTGATGAATGTCACATTATGTGGCTGCAGTTTTCTTTTTTTTTTCTTTTTTTTTTTGTGTGTGATTTTTCTTGACCATCTATGAGGAGCCAAATTTCGACCCCATACATGCGCATATTTTGTGTTCTATTCAGTAATTGAATTTTATTGCCCTTGAGAGGTTAAAGAACTACTCCAGTTATTTCACCTGATCATGTATAACTGCAATTTCTTGTTCTTCTTCATGATGTCGTTGGTCGGGATTTACCTTCTATTAGTTGTGATGTCTTCAAACATGTTTGTTTTTTTTAAGGAAAAATAATGTTATAATTAGACATCGATGGTGCTAAGCACCACTTACTAAAAAAAGATGGATTTTTGAGATGGAATCTACAAATAAGATCTATCTTCTATTAATTATAATGTTTAGCATTTTTTTGATGCAAATTTATCAGCCAATACGGAAGAATAGAGACCATAACAGTTCCGTTTTAATTCAACTGAAAGAGGAAGACCAATAATCTAATTAAATCCCATACGTCATTGTTGAGGGCATAGATTATCTAGAGTCCCAATTTCACACTTGACTTGAGTGTGAAGAAGCCAAGGTAAAACCTCCTCTATTTTCTTAAATTGATGAAAGTTATATGAGACCTTCTCCTAATCTATCGGTACGTTAAGTTTTCTGTCCGTCAGATTTATATAAAATTACGTAAAAGTTAAAAATACGCAGATTTAATAGTTAAAAAATTTAATTTACCGGTACGTCAAGCGTATCAGAAAATCTCTCAAATTATATATATACATGAACGGGCTTTCAATGGTTACATTCCTATTGGTGGTTACTAATAAAATTATTTTTTTTCAAAATGCGTACCTCATTTTTAACGTTGACGTAACAGTTATATGACTTTCTATAGCAGCTAAGCAACCTGTTAGTCTTAAACATTAATTAAAAATATTTTTTTAAATATAAAAATAAAAAACTTTTTGCCGTGTTTGGAATTGTTCTTGTTTTTATTTTTCACATTTTTTAGAAAAAAAATGAAAATGATTCTAAAGCGGCGTTTGGCACAATTAAAAGACAAAAACAGAAATGAAAACGATTATTTGGTTTAGTGTAAAATGAGAGAGAAATGAAAAATGACTTATAATCGTTTTTCTTTTTTTGTTTTCGTTTTCTCTTCTCTCGAGCAGAGAGAGAGAGAGATATATTAATGAGTTTTTTTATACTGAAAACAATCTCTTGATAAAACTCCCAAATGCATTTTTAAAAAATGATTTATGTATGAAATTAAAAATGTTTTTATTTCTATTTTCATACAAAAAATAAAATCATTTTGTAACGAGTTTTAAACGTACCATTTGTTACCCGTTTTCTATACAATTATAGTGATTAGTAAAAGTCAAAGTTATATTGCATACCTTTTTTTAATTAACCACTAATAAGTGTGAGGGGTTAAGTAGAAATAAAGGAACTATGTTTTTTCATGTCTTAAACGAAACGCTTTTGTAATAAAAACCATGTTCTTAATCAATCTTTTGTTTGTTTCGTATGTTTTGTTTGTTTGTTTTTTTTTTTTGTTTTTTTTTTGTTTTTGCTGAATGTTTCGTTTGTTTTTGTTTTGTTTAGTTTGTTGTCGGATTTTCTTTGTTTGGGAAGAAAGTGTCGGATGTGAAAATGGAAGGAAAAAACAACGAGTTACAGTTTTTAAATCACGATTTTTTGTTTTTGTTTTTTAATCCAATCTTCAAAATAGCCGTCAAGATTGTAAAGACAAAGCAATCGTGGTTATGAAGAGCCTGAATCCACAGACGAGGGAAATATGCACTAATTAATTTTATATACGTGGGGAGTTCTGTCGTAAGATATGAAGAAAAAAGAAATTTGATCAGCATTAGGATATATATATATATATATATATAAATTTACATAGAAAAAGTCGTTTAACATTGAAATACTTAGTTTTCATAATAAAAACCAAAATTTACATAAATAAGTAGTCTAACGTTCAAATACTTATTTCTAATTAAAAAAAATGTAAAATCCTACATAAAAATGTATTGTAATATTAAAATCCTACATAAAAAAGAGTTTTTCTCATAAAAAAACCTTTCACACTTATAATCTTTGTGTATTATTATAAATTAATTTCTTTTTAGAAAAAAAATTAAAGAGACGACCTTTGCCTTAGTCAAACGGACTGTCTAATATCTAGTTTGATTATTAAAATATTTCCTTAACATAAAAAATACCCCTTTATAAAGGATGTTTTTCCTGTAAGATCAAAAAAAAAAAAAAATGAAATTATAGGTAGTTTTTTATTTTTCAACTGTCAAATTTGTATCAAAAACTATTTATTCTGTATATTTTTTACAATTTAATTTAATTTTAATCAAATTTAACGGCTAAAAAATTAGTCCTACCGGTAGGTTGGCCTACCAGAAAAACTCCCCTCTATAAAAAGAAATTAATTTTAGCTACATGTGGGCGTAAAAGTGAAGTTTCAAGAACGAGATCAAGTGATTTTTGCTCACTCACAGTCATAACTTCCACTCTAATGGTCAAAATAATATTATCAAGGATTGAGATTACAAGAGGAATGCTAAAAACAGTTGCTTGTACAATAAATAAGTCGACATATTTGCGTTTTTGCTTTGGGTATTTTCACGGTTTTATATCAAAAGTTAGACAATTTTTATGGTCCTTTAAAAAAAAAATTCACCGGTAGAACTTTAGTTTTAATCGTTGGATTAATTTTTCAATAGTCAGATTTATACAAGTCTGTATTAAAAATTTACAGTGTGCCGCATAAAATTATTTCTGTTACAAATCTAACTGTTAAAAAATTAATCCAACGGTTAAAAGTGAGGGATTCCATTGGTAGAGGTTTTTTTTTAGAGTCTATTTATATATATATATATAATTATATATACACACATGTATATATAAGACTATGAGAAGCATTGCCTGGGCTGTGCTCAAAACTAAAAGTTTATATATTAAAAAAAGTCAGTAGTTCTGAACTTTCTGTCATACAAACCAGTTCTTTTCTGTTTGGGTACGTTTTTCTCATCACTATCAAATTCAAAGCAAAAACCATATGGTATTGCTCTTCTCTTTATCAATTAATTCTTTATCATCCCATACTTGTTATCTTCTTTTTAATCTCTTGCATTCATTTGCTAATTATGATCCAGTGATTTATTATTTACTAAAGTTTTGTTGATGGTTTAATAAATTTTTTTTTTTTTTTTTTTTTTTTTTTGGGTGTGTATTTCTTCTTCTTCATAGTGTGGGATGTTTTATCTTATTTTTATATCCTATCTACCCATCAAACATAATATTAAATTTCAGTTTACTTGTTTGTAGTGTACGCGTCTAAAATATATGTCAGCAGGGGCTAGTAACTAAAACAAAATTTAATGAGGTTATAAAATTAACTTTTAAAATTTTAGTGGGTGCTATGTGTATGTTGATATTATACATTATATATATATATATATGTATATAGCTTTTTCAATACAAAAATTTTAACTGGGGGCTTAATCCCCATCGAGCCTTCATTAGCTCTGTGAGTGCCTGTTTTCAAG